TACATATATATATATTTCTTTTCTTCTACATTTAATATACATATATATATATATATATATATTTCTAATCCTAAATCCTGAATCCAAAATCGCAAATAAAAAAAAACTTGAATATTAAAAATCAAATACGAACAAAAGCTCTAATATCAATTGTTTGAAAATTTTTTCAAATCAAACTAAATCTGATAAATCTAAACATGCGATCTTGTGCTAAATCAATGAGAAAGGATAAAGGAAGATTTGATTGTATCATAGGTTAGATATGTAATACCCGAGTCTGAAATTTGGTCTGAGATTAATTTTAAAATTAAAAAAATATATAAAAATATATTTTTTAAATTTATAAATTTTTATTTAATGTAAAATTAGGAAAAAAAATAGGTAGATGATGAAATTGAAAATAATTTTGGGAAAAATGAGTAAAAATTTGGGTTCAGGAAGTATTTTTGAAAGAAAAATCAGAAACTGATTGTCAAAATAGAATTAAAGAAAATTACATCACGTAGGACCGCCCACTCAGCAGCTCCGACGAACCAGAGCACAATGTGTGGCAAGGCACGCTGGCAATCCGCGTACCAGCGATCAGACGGCCCGAATGCGTTCTCGTGTGCGTGTGGACGGTCCAGATCCATTCCCTCCTCATACACGATCGGATGGTCGCAATTAAATACGATGAACAGTTCAAATTTGTTTCCTCTTTAAACGCAATTGTACAATCGAGATCAAATCGCAATGAACGGTCCATATTCATTTTCTCTTCAAACACGATTGGACGGTCGAGATCAAACGCGAGAAACGGTCCATATTTAAGAGAGACGTGTATAAATATCTCGTATCACACTAAATCTAAATTCTAGTCGCTAATCCCCGCCAGAGAAGAAGAATCAGTTGTCAGATAAAAGAGCTTACCGTTGCTTGCCATCGCGCCAGAGTCACATCCGATCACCAAAAAAGATAAAAATTCTCCTATCTGCTCGAAATTTGATTTTGAACACCCCCATAGCCAAATCGGTACAAAAGAAACGGTGGATGAGTCGAAAATTGGGGTAAATTCTGGCGGTACCGCCGAGGGAAAAACCAAAAATTACCTCCGATAAGGCCTTTTTCGTTTCCTGTTTCGTGTTATTTTTCTACCATTGTATTCACTGTTTTATTTTCTATAGGTTGGCCGAAGAGAAACACCCAGTTGTGAAGGTGAGCCGGCGGAGCCACCGCACCGAAAAATTCCGCTGCTTGTAAGTTTTTGTTTTTCGACTTTTTTCAGCCAATCGAGGTCCCCTAACATGTTTTCTCACAGGAATGGGTATAAAATCGGCCAAAATTGGCCAAAAAGAGCCTGTCCGAGGCAAACCGCCGCCGCCGGCGACAGTGTCGTCGCTGGAGCATGGTGGTGCCGCCATGCTGGAATTCTGAAATTGGCCAATTAACACCGATTTTGGATTTTTTGAGGTATTTTTAGGTACGTGAAGCGTGTTTTAATCTCGGTAGAAAAATTTAGAAAACTTGAGGACCGCTAGTAGACGCAACTGAAAGTTTGATATTTCGAACACCGATTCAGGTAAGAATCTCTCACTTTATTCTCTGTTATGGAATTGAAGTTTAATTATCAATAATACAATATTTCGCGTAATTTAAAAAATTTAGAGAATTAGTTACATGTTATTAATGGCGTCAGAACTGGTTATTTATTATAGTTTGTCATGTTTAATCGACTGTTTGAGCTTACAGATTTAAATGCATGATAATATACTAAAATTAGTAAAAGGATTTAGTTGTGTTTCCTTGATGCATGTATTGTTTGTCTTACGTTGATTTACGGTTAAATTATGAAACTGAAAATTAAATGCAAACAAAAAATTGATTAGTTAAGTAAATGAATGAATGATAGCCTTACTGGATATCCTATGAGATGGTGGACAAACCTAGTACATAGAGAACCCTACCATGATATCGCCTCATAACGAACATGGTATCGAGAATTGACATTTTTTGCGCTCATACCGAACAGGGTATGGGGACGACTCGTTTCACCCTCATATCGGACATGGTATTGAGGGATAATATTTTTACCGCTCATACCGGACGCGGTATGGGAACGGTTGGTTAGTTGATAAGGTTAGATATTGGTTCACGTGTAGTGGGACATCCCTATGGACCTCTATGAATACTAGTAGGCAAAATAAAAAAAAAATTATTATCCTTACTTATTTGAATATGAGATTATGATATTGTTGAGCTATTGTCTCTATAGGTCGGTTTTGAAAATCTCGCAACAGTAAGTATGCAATAAATGGTTTTACTTATGATAAATGAATTTACTTAAATTAAGAGCTCCATTGGTTATTTTTATGATTTTTACCAACCTTCATTTTCTGTATCAGTGAGTAGTGTGATATTTTTACTAGGCTAGTGTAGCTCACCCCTTCATTAACTATTTCATAGCAAGATTCAGATCCTGATCAATAAGGGAGTTGTGAATATTTCACCACCCGAACTCATTCAAAAGCTAGTGAAGGTTGTCATAGGATGGTCAGTTGTTTACTTTTCATTTATTTTTTTTTATTTTCGTTTGTTCTTTTAGAATGGATATTACCGTAGCCCTATTGAATATTTTAAACTATTGTGTAAGAAATGTAAACTCTAACTCTATTATTCTGTTTCCGCATGCAATTTATGATTTTATTTTCTTTTAAGTTCTGGAATGTTACAAGATATTTTTAAATGAACACAGCCTCAAAAGCTATTTTTCTCTGATGATGAAATTTCAGAAAAATAAAATAGCGCACATATGATGCCGGAACCATAACCGTCTATTTATATTGACATATTTTTACATTTTTCACTTTACCCATCATAAAACGAGAAATTACAAAAATAATATCCGCACATATTAAGCTCACACCTAACTCTGATGCATTATAACCAATTCTATTTAACTGTATTTGATCACTTTTAAACGAGCTCATAAATCGATAGCTTGTTACGCATAGTAAAGTCTACACCAAGCCCAAACCCAACATTTGATTCTTCCATGGCCATTAAGTCTAGATCATTTAACTCTCTAATGACACCCCTCCTAATCAAATTTAAAAATTAAATAATGAATTATCATCTCCATCACATTACATATTCAATTAATTAATAATCACCTTCACCTTTGAACAATAATCTGAAATTGATTTGGATTCCTTTATCCTCCAAGCTTCAAATTCACCCCTCAGTGATTAAAGTTTCACCTTTTTTGATTTCGTTTTTTACATCTCTAAGAGACTTTTTTGAGGTCTCAAAGGCTTCCTTTGTAGTATCATCAACCACTTTTGAAACAATCTTTTTTTTTTTTTAATTTTATTTCTCATCATTTTTTAATTCATTAATTTTATTTTTTAACTTTTAATATTTTTAATTATTTACTTATTTTAAGCAAAAAAACTGAGGTATAAATAAAGTTTCATGTTATTTTGGTCAAATAAAAATTAGATTTGTCCTAATTTTATTCAAACAATATGAAAAACTGAAAATTTTATTGGTCTCCCAATTTTGGCCAAAAATTTTGTAATTTTTTTTTTTCAACTTTTAATTTTGATTTTTGACTTTGATAATTTTCTCCTTTCTTATTAAAAAGATAGAGGTCCGTGAACAAGTTAAGACGAAACGTGAAATGTCATACCAATAATGTAATTAAAATGTGAGATAAAAGTGTCTTTTTCTTTTCCATATTCTTTCAAAATATAAAAAATAAAGCTTAAATTGAAACAATACAAAAGACATGAAAATCATTTGTCTCTCAATTTTGACTAAACATTTTCTCGTAACTTTTTATCAACTTTTTAATTTTTCTAATTTTCTCCTTTTTGTTTGAGAAAATGAAGTGTGATGTCAAACCATATATTAAATAGATTAATGGAAAAAGTAAAATGTCAATCACACCAGTTATACAATGGGAAAGTGAAATACTATGAATGGTTTATGAAATGGTCTAAGGCAAAAAGTTAAATATGGTTTTAACACCGTAATAATCAAATATTTTGGGAAGATTAATCGGTTCTAATAATTAACGAGATTTATATATTAATAATAATACAATTAATTTAATAATAAGAAAACAAGATACTGATGTATTAGAATAATTTTAGAAAGAATGTATATACATTCATGTAATTGTTTTTGAATAAATCATTATTTTATATTTAAGAACATATTTTTCATAATATATTTTATCTAACTTTATTCACGTACATTTTAAAGTTAAATTAATGTACTAAAGTACTTATATGCATGTATTAAACTAATAATTATATATAATAGATTAATTTTGGAACTAGTTTATTACATGCATACATTGGTTCAGTTCTGAAAATTAATTTTTGAAGCAATTAATTTATATTCATACATTAAATTTGCTTAAGTTAATTTTAGAAATAATAAATTTGAACCAATTTTTAGTTAATTAATTCAGAGATTAGACAATATTAGGTTGTTAAATAGTAAGATAAACAAGAACTATATGAATTAATTATTAAAATAAAAAAATACATTTAGTTAACCATTTCAAAAAAGCTTAGCACTTTTTTACTACGTGACAGTTAATAAAGGCTAAGACATATAATAAATTTTTATCTCCAATTCAGATTTAATTTTGAAGCTTGTTGATGATGGATGTTTGGCAATAAATTTATGCTACCAATATAATATTATATCAAGTGTTATGTTTCTTTGCATACATAAATTGATATATTAAGTGGAACAACTTCTTTTGATTAAACAATTAACAAAATAAATTAATTTTGTTTGACATGTATATATGTATATGTATACTTATTGGATTATTTTGTGAGGATGTGGTTTGATGTAGTAACATCACACAAGAAGCTATGTTAGATTATAAAATCCTAATTGACTAATTTTATTGTTAAATTAAATTAGACCGTAATATTTGAATCATAAAATTCTTATTGACTATTATACCCTTAATTTCAATTCTTGATACTTCTGAACATGGGTAACTTGTTAATATGGTTTTTCATATTGAATGGCGAGTTACGAGACCAAAAGGGTAACGTAGAGACATGCGAAACCAATTCACTTCAAAATAAATAATTGAATATTTACAGAAATGTCCTTGCTTCCAATAATCAAATTATTTTTCCGTTTCTTCCTACATCGATTCCTCCGTCACGATAACGGCGTCAGCATCCCACCAGGTGTCCACATCAGCAGATTCCGTCAGGTCTGCAAGCGGCGACGCTACCTTCCTCATATCTCCAACTTTCAGCCCGCCGCTGACGTCATCCCTGACGTAAACCTTCACCCCGCCGCCGTCGACATTGACCCCCGCAATCCTCCCCAGATTGGGTCTCCATTCTCCGAGGACAGCAGGTATCCGGCACCGGGAGCGCGTGTCCCACGCGCTCAGTGCAACTCTCCCCGACTGATTCTGTCCGGCTGCCACAACAACGGCGGGAGACCCGGAGACTCTGCGATAGATAACTCCACGTTTCTCGCCGATGAATGACGCCACGTCTTGGCCTTCGTCGACGTCATCTAACCGGAAACCTAACCCGAGATTGTCCCACAGCTTCACCACACTCTTCCCCGAGGCGAGCTCGGACCAAGAGAAGAGGTCCCCGAAGCTGCCGCTGCTTCGCCGCCGTCGACGGAGCCCAAATTTACCGTTATGCAACTCGTCGCCGTCGTAATGGTCCGAACCCCTCGGTTTATTATCTTCATCGATGTGTCTCCACTTGGACGATGTCGACGTTGAAACTTCGTATTCTCCGTCTTCTCCCTCCACCTCCTCCTCCTCCTCCTCTTCTTCTTCATCGTCGGAAGATGAGCAGGAGAAGTCTGTTTCACTGTCATAATCATCGTCATCGGCGAGAAGAGGTTGTAAGGAAGGCAGAGAACGGTCGACGTTGCGTCTTACGGTAAGGATCAAAATCTTGATTTTGTTGATTATGGTGGTGAA